CCCCTTCTTTGCGTCCCGGTGGGCGCGCGCCACGGGACGTGGGTGGAGTCGCGGGCTCAGGGGAAGAGGGAGGGAACACGCGATCCAGAGTCTGGGGGCCCCGGGCAAGTTCCGGGGCCAGTGCTTCTCAGCGTGACCCGTGGGCCACCTGCATCAGCCCCATCTGGGGACGCTGGCTGGCGTCAATGCAGATTCCAGGGCTCACGTGGCTACAGGGTCTCCAGAGCTAAGCCCGGGGATCTGCATTGGTGTTCCCAGGTGCTTCTGGAACACATTAAAGTTTGAGAGGCACAGGCAGAGAGGGGCGTGTGTGGAGGGGGAGCGGGGGTTGTTTCCGGAAGGGTCTGCGAGCTGCGGAACTTGGCTGGAAGGAGTGCAGAAGATGAAGTGGGCCACCACTGCACCTGGGGCCTGGGGCCGTGCGTCTCCCTCAGGTCTTCTCCTGGTCTCTCAGCTGTGGGTGGGAGGAGCCTGGGCAAAGTCCTGCCGCCTCAGCAAGTGGACGTACCGCTCTGGTGGCCTGAAGAGATGGGGCTAGAGGCTTGGCAGAGGGCAGGGTGCATGGGGGATGCCTGGCCCAGGGCCCAAGGGCTGGAAGGCAGTCCAGCTTATTGCCCTGAGTTCATGAGCACTTCTTACCCCCTTCCCCATAATGGAGTACTCCTGGTGGCGCAGTGATGAAGTGCTTACCGCTAGTCCAAAGGTCATCAGGTCCCTAGTGGGAACCCACCAGCCATCCCTGTGGTGAAAGATTAGGAGGGGTCTTCCATACCATAAAGCTTAGCCCACTGGCGTTCAGTTGACTCTATGAGTGACCCTCTCTGGGGATTCTGAGACTGTCAATCTTCAGGAGAACAGCCAGCCTCATCTTTTTTCCCATGGAGCGGCTGGTGGATTTGAACCTGCAACTGTGCACTTAGCAGCCCAGCTCTTAATCCATTGGATGACCAAAGTTCCTCTGAAGATTACAGCCTTGGGCACACTGTGGGGCAGTTCCACTTTGTGGTATTGGGTTGCTAGAGATCAGACACGACTCAATGGCCACAAGTTTGTTTGTTGTTGTTGTTGTTTCCCCCCACTCCCCCCAGTTCTCCCCCATGGTACATTCTGCTGACTTCATAAAGGCTGTAGGGACTTGGTAGCACATGCCACCCGTTTCTTCAATGTGCACTCACACAGCCCACTCAAGCCAAAAGACCAGCCTTTCTCATGGCTCGGGAGGGACTCGTGGGCTATGTCTTTTCTGCTCCTTGGACTCTGGTGTCCCAGCCCCAGGTGGTCCAGAGCTCCAGCCCCCCCAGCTGTCGAGGCTGGGGGTCCTGAGATGCAGTGATGTTGCACTGGGGGTTCTGGGGTGCAGTGATCTTGCCCATTGTTTGGGCTCATCCTCTTGTGCTGTGCTCTCCTGCCTCACTCCAAGGTGAGGCGGCAGGCCCCAGGACCTGGAGTGAGAGAGGGCTTGAGCTGGCACTTAGAGAGTCAGGAGCGTGGCGGTGGGCACCAAGGCCTCTGGGAGTCCTCGTGCTTTTGACTTGGATCTCAGAGAGGATTCCAGACCATTAGAACCACCCTGCTTAGAGCCTTCAGACCAGGGGTTCTCAACCTTCCTAATGCTGCGACCCTTTAATACGGTTCGTTATGTTGTAGTGACCCACAACCATAAAATCATGTTCGTTGCTACTTCATAACTGTGATTTTACTACTGTTATGAATTGGGTGACCCCTGTGAAAGGGTCGTTTGACTCCCCCCTAAAGGGGTCGCGACCCACAGATTGAGAAACACTTCTTTAGACCAACAGCTGCTTTATTAATCTGCATGTTAACTCAATTCTTTTTGGAGTCTGTGCCTAGGGCCTGCTGTGGCCAGAAGGGTTAGGGACTGGGGGCGGGGGGCGGGAGGGCTGGGGGGCTGCGGAGGGGGTAGGGCAACAGAGCCAAGGCCTCTGGACTCCCAGTTGCCTGTCCCACGTGGCAGCCACATCCCTGGTGCGCACTCCAGTTCAGATGTCTCTGAGTCCCCTCCAAGGCTTTCACAGTGACTTAATCACCATGCTCCAAATGCCTTTCAGAGCGGGGCGCCCTAGGGGAATGCTTCATTTCACCACATCAGAGCCCAGTGGACACAGACGGGTTCCTGGGCAGGAGTGAAGCAACTGCACAGGTTCAGCCAGGGCCTCCTGAAGTCTAAGAAAAGGAAGCAAGGGGATTGATTTAAACCCCCTGAGGTCATGTCTGGAGCAGGTGTGAGGTGGCCGTGAGAGGTTTCTATCCTGTGGACTCATTTTCATAAGGATCTAGCGCCTTGGAAAGGGCTGGACTCTACCCCTCTGAGAAGACCCTGGGGAACTCTCAAGATCTTGTTAAGGCCGGACGGCTGAGAGGAAACCCAGCCAGTTGTCATGGAGCCGATTAGGACGTTGTCAGAGTAGAGCAGGGCTCCGTAGGGGTTTCAGTGACTGATTGTGGGGAAGGGGAGCACCGGGAGACTTGGTGGCGGAATGGGTGAGGGGTTGGGCTGCTCACCACAAGGTCAGCAGTTCAAATTCACCGGTTTATCCTTGGGAGAAAGAGGAGGCATTCTGTTCAGAAACTCACACGGGCATTCTACTCTGCCCTTTAGGGTCACTATGAGTTGGGATTGACTCCATGGGAATGAGTTGTTTTTAAGAGGGCACCACACATTTCTTCTGTGGCACCTCTGGGTAAACTCGACCTGCTAACCTTTCAGTTAGTACGTGAACCACTAACCCTTGCACCCCCGGGTGGTCTGCCCACCCCCCCAGCACTTCCTAAAACCAAGGCTCCTCTGTGCCTCCCTTTGTCCCTAGGAGCCTGGTGAATGGAACCTTTTTGGAAATCAAGGACCGGATGTTTTCCCACCTGCCCTCTCTGCAGCTGCTGTGAGTATGGAAGGACCTCTTTGGAACACGGGGTTTCTGAGGGGTGGTCATGGGGGGTGGGGCGGGCAGCTCTGTATCTGTGGGGCCCCCAGGAGTAAACAGTAACAGGTCCTTAGTGTGTCCCCAACAAGCTAAGTGCCCAGGCTCCTTCCTCAGTTTCCCTTCTTTAGGGGAGGACAGCGCTTCCTTGGGGGACTTTATGTAGGTGCCGGGGACTCCATCTGGCAACTGGGAAGAGGATGGCACTGAATGATGACGGGAACTTAACTGGATGCTGGTCCCCCCGCCCCCCCCCCTCCCCATATTCACTGTGGTTTGGGTGACAGGTTACAGAGCAAATTAGCCTTCCATCCAATCATTTGGCCTTTGCTTTGTTTTGTGACATTAGTTTTAATCCTCTCGGTGTAACACTGCCCTCCTCTCCCCACCTCCTGCCTGAGCGCTCCATTTTTGTCTGTCCATTCCCCACGTTTCTTGCCTTCTTCTGTGCTCTGTTTTTGGGTCTCCTTTGGTTCGCTGTTCCAAGAATTACGATTCCATTCCTCACAGTTGTCGTTATTCATCTCCAAGGTCTTCCATTGGGCTGGGAGTGGGCTCGGATGCCAGGTTTGAAGGGCGCTGAGGGTCATGGTCTCAGGGTTCCGTCAATCTACATCAGCGCAGGAGGTCTGTGGTTTTGAGATTTGTGACTTTCTGTGATTTTGAATTTTGTCTGACACTTAGTTTCTCCTACTCTGTGCAGGATCCTCTGTTGTGATCTTGATCAGAGCGGTGAAAACTCTGCGTTACAAATAAATAAATAAGTCAATGGTTTATTCTCAGAGCTTTTCCAGATTGGCCTGGGTGGGTTTTCCTGGTTGCTCTAGGGTGGACTTAGCTGGAACGTAGCCTCCGCTTTTGACCTCAGGCCTGGGTGCTGGCTGGGCAGCACCACATATGAAGCACAACGATGGTGGCTGGGGAGCTTGGTTCCACACGTGATGAGGCAGCTCTGAGCGGGAGGATCCTCTGCCGTGATGGTAGCAGAGGCCCAAGAGCAGGAGCCAAGTGCGCCAGCCTCGAGCAGTTCCATCATGAAGTCCGAGTGGTGTTCTGAGCACAGGCGTTATCCTAGTTCCCTGAGAACTAACTGCCCGGCAACATACCCCTTCTGTGTCCTTCTATCACCCCCAACAGGACGGGTGACCAAGTGGGTTACGTGTTGGGCTGCTTACCACAAGGTCAGCAGTTCAGATCCATCAGCTGCTGGGATCCATCCTTAGCTGGGAGACAGATGAGGCACTTCCGCTCCTGCAAAGAGTTGCAGCTTCGGAAACCTGAAGGGGCCTCTGTGCGCTGTGAATTGAGAAGACATTGAGAACTGACTCAATGGCGTTGAGTCACAGGAAAGCGGAGGCTATTGTATCTCCTCCACTTGACAGATGAGGGAAATAGGCTCGAGATGGTTCAGTAACTGGAACCAAATCACAGAGCCAGGATTCTAACCCAGGGCCCCAAGCCCAGCCCACAGTGCCATGGTGACTCGTGGTGACTCTCCAGGACAGGGTGGAACTGCCCCTGTGGGTTTCCAGCTGTAACGCTTCACTGGAGTAGAAAGGTCCCTCTGCTCCCGCTATGTGGCTGGTTGCTTTGAACTGCTGACCTTGCAGTTTACCAGCCCAATCAATGCCTACCCATGACACCATCAGGGCGCCTCCTTGCACACCAGCACCGACCACCTGAGTCTTCAAGCCAGGCCAGTTAAGGCCAAAACGCAGTTCTGAGGAGCGAATCAGTGACAGGCAGAGTCCTGAGTACATAATGTATTTATTTTCTATGTATCTGTACTTATTTCTTAATGGGTATCGAGATGGAAATAAGCAGCACTTTATAAAAGCCATGAAGAAAAAGACTGTAGATCTGCTTTCTAAAAAATAAGAAGAAACAGAATGTAGATCTGTACTCTTAAATAAGCACACTGTTGATATTTTGCTCCTTGGATGGTACCTGCCTGTTTTTTTGTGTTTGCTTAACATGCTTAAACATGACATTTCTTAGCCGTTGCCCTAAACCAAAGCCAAACTCCGCGCCGTTGAGTTGGTTCTGACTCACAGTGACCCCGTAGGGCAGGGTAGAACTGCCCCTGTGGGCATCAGGGATGGTAATCTTTATGGGAGTAGAAAGCCTTATTTCCTCCTGCAGGGGTGCTGGTGGTTTCAGACTGTTGACCTTGTGGTAGTCACCTGGTGAGAAACCCACTCCCCGGGGCTCCTTTTAGCTATCGTAGTTTTGTTGAAGCAGGCTCCTGGTCATGGAAATGCAATGGTAGTTATTCTTTTAGCAAATAGACTTATAAGGGGACAATACACACTCATGCAGAAAAATACCTGGTTTAATGAGCATTCTGAAAGTTTTGTAAACTTTATTCCCCCTCCTTCGGGCAATGTATAATATAGTAGAAAGATTTTATTGTTTGTTGTAGCTGTCTGAGTTTAGTCAAGTTACTTAACCTCTCTGGGCTTCAAGTTCTCTACAAAAAATCTGGCTACACCAGAGATGTACACTGGTACAGATAGGAACTGGAAACGGGGAATCCAGGGCGGATGAGAGTGGCGAGAGTGACCACCGGTGAGAGTGGCGATCCTGGGAGGGTGGAGGGAGAGTGGGGTGGAAAGGGGAAACCTATTACAAGGATCTACATATAACCTCCTCCCTCGGGAACGGACAACAGAAAAGTGGGTGAAGGGAGACATCTCAGACAGTGCAAGATTTGACACAATAATAATTTGTAAATGATCAAGAGTTAATGAGGGAGAGGGGAGCAGGGAGGGAGTGGGGAAAATGAGGAGCTGATGCCAGAGGCTTAAGTGGAGAGCAAATGTTTTGAGAATGATGAGGGCAGTGAATGTACAAATGTGCTTTACACAGTTGATGTATGTATGGATTGTGCTAAGAGTTGTATGAGCCCCTAATAAAATGATTTTTAAAAAACCAGATGGGTGAGATCGTTATAGATCCGTAAATCCCATGATCCCTTGTGCATCCTCCAGTATTTAGTTGCACCGAGCATGAACACGTTTTAGAATGGCAGTGGGCATGCCGTATGGGGAGGGCCGGAGGAGGGGCAGGGTGGACTCATGGGAGTGACCTAAAATTTTGGTCCAAAGGAATCCGCTCGTCATATCCATCCGCGACCTGCGGATAATGTTGGGCAACTCTCTGGCCATTCTTGGGTTAGAGAAGAGCCCAGATTTGCCCACATGTCAGAAAAGAGCCAAGCCATTCGCGACCTGCGGATAATGTTGGGCAACTCTCTGGCCATTCTTGGGTTAGAGAAGAGCCCAGATTTGCCCACATGTCAGAAAAGAGCCAAGAAACAGAACCAAACAAACCTAAGTGACGCCCCCAGGTGGCCCACCCTGGCCATCTCGGCCCTGAGCTCTGAACTAATTCTTTCTTCCTTTTCAGATTGTTGAATTCTAACTCCTTCACAGTCATCCGGGATGATGCTTTCGCTGGGCTTTTCCACCTCGAATACCTGTAAGTGTCACGCTTTGCCTGTCTGCGGAGCCTTTGGTATCTCTGAGGGCCGGCAAGGCTGCACTCTATTCTAGAACTTTTCTCTCCGCCAGCATTGGAGGGGAGAGGATGGTGAAAATCCCCCCCTCCCTTATCAGCACTGACCTTTTCCAAGTCAGCTCGCTTCTAAACATGCCGGAGGGTGCGGGGTGGAGGGAACAAAGAAGGAAATAGACTCATTCATTCTCTGCTGACATTTAATTTGTCATGTAGTAAGCACAATTGGAAATTGAGTTGGATATTTTTACCTTTCCTAACGGCGCGGATTTGCTGATCAGCCAGAAATAGAGCCAGAGGGTTCGGAGGGGTACTTGTTTTTACAAAATTACAAAAAATAGGAAACCTCCCTAGTTGAGGGCACGATGCTGTGTTTTTAATTCAGCTGCCCTATATCCCAGGGCAGCAGTCCTGATGGCGCAGGGGTTATGCATTGGGCTTTTAATCATAAAGTCAGCAGTTCAAAATCACCAGCCTCTCCTTGGGTAAAAGATGAGGCTTTCTACTCTGGTAAAGAGTTACAGTCTCAGAAATCCACAGGGGCCGTTCTACCCTGTCCTATGGGGTCTCTAAGAGTCGGCATTGACTCAAAGGCAGAGCAGTTTTTTTATCCTGGGACAGCATTGCGTATGAACTGCTAAGAAGGACCTGATTTTTTGTCCTTAAAACAACACCAACCAAACAAACAAACAAAAACCCAAAAAACCCCAAATCCCAGTCTCCCATTTTTCTGATGTGTCATTTTCCTCCACCCTGCAAAACAACACGAAAGCAAAATTGTTCTACTGTAGCTCTGCTTCTTGCCCTTGTCACAGCCACATCTTTCTGCGCCTTCAGGTCTTCCCCCTTCTCCTCGTCAAAAGATGCCGCCTGCTATCAAACTGCATCTTTTTACTTAGTGTCCTGAGAGGTGTGCAAAGCTTTTTCTGTTTCGTCAGAGTCCACAGGTAGATGTCTGAATTCTAACCACAAGACAGCGTGTGGTTAGATTTTTTCCCCCAGAGTCAAAAGCAACCGCCTGCCCCAGTCACTTCTATCTCATAGCGGCCCCAGGATGCAGGAAGATGAATGGGGCAAAAGAGAGATAATCTCTGCTGGATCTCTCTTATACCAAAGGCCACACCCCCAAGGAAGAATCACCAGGCTACCACCCAGTTGACAGGTTGGATTCCATCCACACAGTACCATCAAGTTGACATAAAATCTAACCTTCACAAGTACTGGGGCGCTTTTAAAGAATTATCTCTAATGAGAGCAAACTGATAATAGCTACTCCCGTGAGGGGGAGTGAGTTTATGTTAATGGCCGACTGTTTGTAAAAGGAGCGTGGGAATGGTTGACCAACTTGAAGGTTGTCAATGGGGCTGAATGGTAGAACCTGTTGAATTGGTGTGTGTTCTGATTCGGTTTTCTACAAGCATCAGAAAATCCCCAGGGCAAGACCTAAGAGCTGTCGCGTCACCCAGTGGTGATACCGAAGCCCCTCGTTTGGACTGTCCTCATCAAAGGCTCTTTTGCACTTGCTTAGCTTACTGTGATGCCGTCAACTAAAATCCTGGTTACCGTGCCCTGCCGTACAGACCTGGTGCATGATTACTGCATGCATTTCTCACCAAGATAGGTCCCAAGACATTTCTGCACCGAGAAGGAAGTTTGGCCCATCCCCGATGCACATGTGCTTCGTCAGCCTAGGCTCAGAGGCCAGCCTGGGCGGAGGAGCACAAGGGACTCAGCTTTGTTTGTGAAGCTATGCTCCACAGCACGACCCCTGTCCCCCACTGCCAGAAAGCTCCGCTGTGGAGATGGATATCAACCAGTGGGCTCTCCTCAAGGGACAGTGATGTTAGCCTGAGTATTAATAGCCAGCCATTGTGAAATGTGAGCGGGATTGAGTAGGGAACGCTGGAAGCCTGCCCATATTGCTGAGATGAGAATGTCTTGCTTTTGGACAGGGCTTGCATTTTACACATACACCCCCCCAACCCCCACAAGATGTTTTTACGCTTAACTGCCAACTCTGATTTTGAAGACTTCCAGGCCGGTACTAGGGGCCCCAGTGGTGCGGTGAGTGAATTACTGGGCTGCAAACCACAAGGTCTGCAGTTCAAACCCACCAGCAGCTCTCTGAGGGAGAAAGATGAAGCTGACTGCTCCCATGAAGATCTACAGTCTTGGAAACCCCAGGGCGCAGTTTCTCTCTGCCCTGTCCGGTCACTTGGCATCAGAATGGTTCAGCGCCCGTGCATTTTGTTTTGTTTGTTGGTTTTCCCTTTAGCAGGTTTATTGACCTGCGATTCACATAGCATAGAATTCAACGGTTTAAACACGTGGAAAGGAGTTGGGTGGCCACCACCATGGTCCATTGGAGAACATCTTTTTTTTTTCTTTTCACAGTTTCTGGAAGGAGGACAGAGCGGGCAGTCACACACGGGCCCTCTCCTTGCACACTCGGCCTGCTCTCTCATGGGGGGGGGTCTCAGACCTGGTCGCTGGGGAGGACTTTCTCCCATTCAGAGTGCTTTTGGAGCAACCCAGTAGCATGCTTTCACGGAGCATTCGGCAGAGGGAGGGCAGTTCCGTGACACGGCTTTTCTCCTCAGGTTCATCGAAGGGAACAAAATCGAAACCATTTCAAGAAATGCCTTCCGTGGCCTGCGCGACCTGACGCACCTGTAAGTCCTGTGAAAAGTGGGGGGTGCGAGGGCTTCTGTGGAGGGGGGACACCTCGCCTCCAGCGCCCTTTTCTTCCTTGTCTGCCACTGTCATTGCATAAGCATTCTCAGAAGGAAACCAATTTTCAGGTGCCCAAGGAGGTGTCTGGTTTCTTTTTTTTTTATTAAGATTGTCTATTGGGCATTGTAAATGTGGAGCCTCTTGGGGTCCCTCCCTGTGATGGGCCACGTGGCCCTGTGAGCGGCCATATCAGTTGATGGAGTCCCAGAATAGTGCAGATGCTTCACAGGCTCAGCCGCTGGCCTTTGGGAGAGAGCTCCACTCTGAGGGCCTCCGAAGAGGCCCGGCCACCTACGTACGTCGGGGGAGTAACATCAGCTATTGCAAACCCTCCTATCGAAAGTGCAAGCTCAGGTATATTCATACTATGGAATCGGAGACATCAATAAAAAATGAGGGTAACTCTCCCCAACACCAGAAGACGTGGACAAAACTAGCGAACGTTCGCTTAGCCAACTCGGTCCATTTTACACAGATCCACATTTAATATCACCGGTGTTGGAAGGAAAATCAAAGA